TTTCAGTCACCTAATTGGCATGTGAAAGTTGACCATTGACTGTGGAAGAACCAACACATGTGACTCATGGGGGTGGCGAAGAATAGTGAAGGCACCGGGGACTGCTCAAAGCACAAGCACATCTGTCTTGCAGAAGCACGGCCAGCATGTTCCCGAGGAGCAGGGATGGTGAGACTTAGGCTCAGGGATTTTGTTGTCAGGCGAGGCCCCTCCCTGGAGAAGGGCAGCGTGCTTGGGGAAGGAGCGGGGCGGTGACAAAGAGGAAGCCCTCGACAAGCCAGACGGACACAGTGGCTGCCACGATGGGCTCCAGCAGAGGAACACTTGTGAGGATGGCACGGGACCGGACAGTGGTTTGTTCTGTTGTACAACGGGCTGTTAGCTTTCTGGAGTCCGTAAGACCTCGGTTCTTGGCTTTGCATCACAAAAGAATTCACGCCAGTGCCCATTGTGTAATCCAAGGGGGTTTTTATGAAGGACAGGACAAGTTTCAGGTTTTACGGTCCCAAAGGGGTTCACAGGTGGAAAAGAGCACCCGTGTAGACGGATCTTGGGGGGAAATCCTGGGAGGCCAGAAGCCCAAGAACCCTAGAGGCTCAGAGCATATGGGCCAAGAGGCAGTTCCCCCCACCCCACCCAAGAAGGCCCAGAGCAGGCACATGTGCACCCTCCCCCTCCACCTGCCTCTGACTAGGAGCAGGGTAAGAGAGAGCATCTCAGAGCGTGCTCCCTGCCTTTATTCTAGCCCACCCCCTGGCTGGGGGAAGGTGTGGCTGATAGTATTGGTTGACCCCATTGGCTGAGTTAGGCCCACGTGGGTGATGTCATGAGCCTGGGGCCAGTTTGACCGCCCAAGTGTACCTCCCACCTTGCTCAAGGGCTTGAGTGCGAGCATGCTCATTTTGGGGTCTTTGTGGGTGTCTAATGGCTGCCTGATTTCTTTCCAACCTCCCCTATGGGGGCCTTTGCAGGCTTGGGAGGGATGACCCCTTGTCCCTAAGCTAGCTCCCTAACAGGGCCACTGTGAGTCAGAACCAACTTGAAGGCAACTGACAACGCCAACACCAAGAGCTCCCGTGTAACGGCTTCCTCAAGGTCTTCATCACCCTCGATGAGCCTCTGGGGCGGACTATGTCAGAAGTAGTAGACATTTAAGGATTAAAGACCCAGGAGGTATTGATTTTTGTGTAAAACAGGGCTACAGAGCTTCCGAAATCTCAGATCAGGTCTGCACGTGGTCCTGTATGAAGGGTAGCTGGCTGATTTAAACCAGAGCAGAGTCATGCTGTTACAAACGCAACCACATCCAAGTGCACAGACTTGTGAGGGCTGCGAGTGAGAGGTTCAAGGCGTGGTGCAACTTGAACATCTCTGCAGGGAGGCTATTGTTCCTAAAGTTGGCAGGATTTCATTCCTAACAATCTCAAGGGTTCAGGGAAGGCAGCCTCATGGGACTCAAGCTCAGGAGGGTGAAGCAGGAAGCGAGGACACAGCACCAGCAAACCCAGGGAGCGCTCAGGTCTGCTGTTAATGTATTTGCATAGAAAACCGTGATCCTTGGCCTCTCTCTTCTCTGGAATCAGGGCAGGCCGCTCTGTGCCTTCGGGAGCCACACAGGTGACTGTGGGGCAGGACGGAGCCAGGGGAGGGGACAGGAGTCTGGGGACTTGCCTGTTCTCTGCAGGCACTGAATGACGTGAACACTGAGCCCAGTCCTGATGGAGCATCCGAGTTCTCAGGGGAAGCCAGATATCACGACATTATTATTTTTTTTGAAGTTGAGAGAGATTTTATTGAGGGGGGGGAGGCCCTCACGACATTCTTGTAAGACCTTCCAATGACAAAATAATAATTTATAAATTATCAAGGGTTCGTGAAGGAGGGGTGAGCAGGGAGGTAGAGGGAAAAATGAGCTGATGCTTAAGTGGAGAGCAAATGTTTTGAGAAGGATGAGGGCAATAAATGTACAAATGTGCTTTACACAACTGATGTATGTATGGATTGTGATAAGAGTTGTATGAACCCCCAATAAAATGATTTATTAAAAAGAGAAAGGAAATGCACATTTTGGTCCCCACCCCCATCCACTGAGTAAGAAACGCTAGGGGTGAGGCCCATCAACCTTATTTTCACACGCCCTCCTGTTGATGTTGGGCTACCCTGCAGTGCGGTCTGAGCATCACTGGTAGAGCATGTTGTGGGTAACTAAGCGGGGAGAATGCCTATATTTAGATATTCATGTTTACCAAAAGATAAACTGTAAAGTTGAAAGATGATTCAACTGTAGGGAAAGGGAAGGAAGAGACTGGAATAAACAGCAATAGAAGCTAGACTTCTTTGACTTGACATTGCTGGGAGAATTGACTTTGAAGCCATGTAGCTATTCAACAGAATTATTCCACACACAAAAAATTATTCCAAAAAATGGAGGCTTATAAAGACAGTTGAAATTGAGCATTGAAATCCACATGATGCAAATAACGGAGCTGTGTGCGCTTTCAGTTGGGTGGTGGCTTAACCGTACAGAGAGAAAACCAACTGATATAGAAACAGCACAAAGATCAAAGCCTTCGGCGTGGATGACTCCTCAATATAAGACCAAAAGCCTCACGACTGGGCCATTACGTCACCTCACGATAAGCAGACACAAGAGGGAAGTCGTCAAGGGGTACAGTCTACTTGGATCCACAATCAGTGCTGAAGGAAGCAGCAGTCAGGAAATCAAATAACCTATGGAATTGGGAAAATTCTCTAATGCATTTAAAAAAGCAAAGATATTCCTGCTCGGAGCAGACAATGCACAGAGAGGACCATAGGGCTGGCCCCACCACGAGACACGACGTCCCTCACAGACCCATAGCGCTACGGGGGACAACACTGGAGCACAGTGCGGAAATTGTGCCCAATCTGACCCCACCACTCTGGGGTGAAACACCAAGGACATGTAACAGAGCAGCAAGGGGAGCAAAGTGAAGAAATCCCCAGGGAATACCAAAGATAGAGTTTGGAGACAGAGTGTGGCACCCCATCAGACTCGACTGGAAAATAGGCCAACAAGCAGACCTTGAACTATTAAAAAACGACCAAGCAAACAAACAAACAAAAAGCAAAGATGTCGCTTTGAGGACGAAGGTACCCGTGGCCCGTGCCGTGGCATCTCCAGGTGCCTCAGATTCATGTGAAGGCTGGGCGAGGAATCAGGAAGCGTGAAGAATAAGGAATGGCTTTGAGTCATTGTGCTGGCGAAGGGTATCCACCCTACCCGGGGCTCCCAGCGGAATGAACAAGCCCATCTTGGAGAGACGCAGCTAGAATGCTCCTGCCAGGAGAAGATGGCCAGGCTTCGTCTCGTGTACTTTGGACCTGTTACGGGGAGACATCAGTGCCTGGAGAAGGGCACCCTGCTTGGTGAAGTAGAAGGTCAGAGACAGAGAGGAGACCCTTCGGACCAGGTGTAACATCCTACTGCCGTTCTCATTGACTGGTGGGTTTCGATCATTTGACATGGAAGTTGCGGTTTTACCCTTTTCAGGAGTGTCCTTTCACAGCAGACAATTTTCATTTCCTATTTCCCAAAACTTGATAAGAATACAGGGCATCCATCTATAGACAATTGGTCATCCCCTTATAGAAGGGTCACAAGGAAGAGACGAGCCAGTCAGGGTGCAGTATAGCACCAATGAAACACACAACTTTCGTCTAGTTCTTTACTGCTTCCCCCACCCCCACTATCATGATCCCAATTCTACCTTACAAATCCGGCTAGATCAGAGGATGTGCACTGGTACAGATGGGAACTGGAAACACAGGGAATCCAGGACAGATAAACTCCTCAGGACGAATAATAAGAATAGTGCTACCAAGAGGATAATGGGAAGGTGGGAGAGAAAGAGGGAACTGATGACAATGATATGCATATAACCCCTTCCCAGGAGGACGGACAACAGAAAAGTGGGTGAAGGGAGACAGTGGTTGATGTAAGACAATGAAAAAAAAAATCTATAAATTATCAATGGGTTCATGAGGGAAAGGCTGGTGGGGTGAGGAGCTGAAATCAAGGGCTCAAGTAGAAAGGAAATGTTTTGAAAATGATGGCAACAAATGTACAAATGTGCTTGACGTGATGGATGTATGGATTGTGATAAGAGCTGTAAGAGCCCCCAGTAAAATGATTTTTTTAAAGAAAGATTACATCTGAAGGACTAAGACGGCCGCAGAAATGGGAGGAGGAGCTAGGGATCTGGGAGCGTGCTGGGTGTGTGCGGACCAGGAGGCTCAGCGCCTGCTCCCAACTTCAGTGTCGTAGGAAAGATGGGCGCTCGTCGTTCCACCAACACCACCTGCCCCGGGGACATAAGGCAGCCTCTTCTTTGGAGGAGCTCGGCAGTCCCGCGTGGAAGATAGGCCGAGAAGTGGGCAAGGCCACGTGGGTCAATTGGGTGGCGCTCCAGGAGAGGTAACTAGGCTTGAGGAAGCCCAGAATCAGAGCGGCTGGCTGGGCCTGGGACATCAGGGAAGTTTTCTGGGAGGAATTAAGGCCCAACTTCCATATCCAAGGATGGCCAGTGGCCTGCCAGTGACAAAGGTGGGGAGAGAGTGGGCACCGCCCTCACTCTGCACGTGCTTCCCACAGACTTCTTGTCCCAGGACGTTTAAATGCCGTGCCGGCTGGACCCCCGGGCTGTACCACAGGACAAAGACACTGTTGTTTCACCTCAGACCTGCCTCCTGTTCACGGTGACACGGCAGATGCTCCGTCAATGTGTATTGAACTCAAGTTCAAGTGTTTGCAGACTCCCAAAATGAACACATTTGGGGGGTGGGGGGGCCCTAGGGCTGGATGGGGCATGCAGCTAGCTGTCCTGTGGGCTAGGATGCAGGCCATGTGTGATTTGAGCCACAGACTGGGCGGCGTGACCACTGTTTCTCTTTCTTGCTTTAAAGTGCATGTAGACAGCTGTGCATTCTTGTGCCTAAAAGTCTCCCTTCTGTCCTTGCAGAGTGAAGATTTCCACATCTACACCCAGTATTGCACCAACTACCCCCGGTAGGTCAGCCCGCCGGCCGCATACACTTCTGTCCTCTTTCAGACAGTCTGCCCCACACCCCAGCTTTCTAGGAGTGTGTGCCTGGGGCTTCCCGGTGGGGTGGGGTCAGAGGTGGGGGTGAGTGCAAAGTGACAGTAGTCCCTGTCCTTTAGAGACCACTTATCAACTTGCAGCACTGAGCAAGGATGGCCGGGAGACACAGGTCCTGAGCCCTGCAGGCCCTGGGGTTCCCGGAAAGCCTTGTGGCCTGGAGGCCATGGTGGATATGTTAGTCTGGGTACATTAGAAAAACAAATCCACAGAAACCCATATGTATAAGAGAGAATTTTATATGAAGGTTAAGTGCACATCAAGAAAACATCCCAACCCAGTGCTGCCCAAGCCCACAAGTCCAACATTAGCCCATATATCCAACACCAATCCACAAAGTCCTCCTCCATCCCACAAAACACATGCAATGATGCCGACTGCAGGAGGAAAGCCGAGTCAGTGAATGTGTAAGCATTTTAGCACTGGCAGGGGTCTCCACACGGCTGCTCCAGCACCCAGGGCTGTGTCGGGGTAGGTCCATGTGGCTTCTCCTCAGGAATGTCTTGCAGGAAGTGAGCCTTGCCAGCTGAAGCAGGGAACTGGCTAAGGCAGCTACCCCCTGATCCGACCATCGGAAAGCAAGAGACCCAAGAACTAGAAAGGCAAGGCTCACTGAGCCAGTTATCCATCCACCCTTCAATTAACCCCACAGGTGTTTATCAGCCAGGTTGGCACAATAATCTTTAACTATCTCAGTGGGGAAAATGGAGAGTCTCTGAAAAGAGTAGAGAGACTCCTTCCCAAGCGGCTTCCGTGGCAAACGAAGGAAGCCCGCTGTGCTTGACTGAGCTTTGTACCCACCTCTGGTCTCTGTGCCCCTCACCTGGAAGAACATGGGAGCACTTCTCATGAGAGCCTGGGGGGTGCAGTGGGCTCGGTGCAACTGCTGAGATGGTGGCTGGGGGGACCCCGCCAGAGCGGCCCCTGAGAGTCCACGGTCTTGAGAACCCAAGAAGTGTCGTTCCCCTCCACATAAGCAGTACCCGCATGAGTTGGAATCCACTCCAGGTCAGCTGGTGTGTGCATGTGTTTGTGTGTGCACATGTGTCTGTGTGCGTGCATTTGTGTGTCCGCATTTGTATGCATGTGTGCGTGTTTGTGTGTGTGTGTGTGCTTTCATGCATGTGTATGCACCTGTGTGTGTGTGTGTGTGTGTGTTATTGAGGCTCTATAATTTAACTGGTTGGAATCAACTTGATAGCTGGGTGTATGTATTAATAAATCTATAACTGGGGGGAAATAGGTCCCATTTTTGCTCTCAATTTCGTGGGGCTAAGAGACAGGAAAATCCACCACCAGGCTGGCTGAGCAAAGGCACTCCATGCACATTCCCTCAACTATCAGTCTCCCACTCTTTCTGAACCCTCAGAATCATTACTCCCATTACTATTTCTGAAGGGTTTATCTATCTTGGATTTATTTCATGCATCGAACAATAATTATACACATGAACATATGCATGTCTAACAGGATTAATGAGGTAAAACTAAGACCATAATAATAGGAAGACCAAGGCTGCAAATCTTTCTGGAAGCAGATGGGCCTCATCTTTCTCCTGCCCAGAGGCTGGTGGACTCAAACCACCAATGTGGCAGTTAGTAGCCCAGTGCTTCACCCGATGCACCAACAGGACTTTGTAATGCCTGGTTTTCCATATCCATCCTGAAAACACATTACTGACTTGAGAAGTAAGGGTCTGAAGTTTTACCACCTGCTTGTGTCTACGTTGTAAAACCCACAGATTTTAATTCATGGATGTGCGTGCGTGCCTGTGTGTGTGTGTACACAGTCACATGCCAACACAATGTTAGTCATTCTCTTACCATGTTTTCTTGGGGGAGCAGGGAGGAAGGGGGCGTCATTGGGACCACCCTCCTCATGCAGCAGGGCCTGAGCCGTCTTCAGAAGTCAACTTCCCTGGGAAGGGCCCCCGGGGGCAGGATGGGATCTGTCCAAGGATTCTCACACAGAGCCTGGCCTGAGGGAGGGGTCTCTGTGGAGGGCTACCCTGTGGGGGTGTGCAGTGCATGTACCCCACAGGGGTGACCAGTGGGGAGCGCAGGTGTTCCAACACGGGACTGTGCCTCCTGGGAAGTTGGTGTGAACTGCCATCCTGCCGGCCCCCAAATCCCAGTGATCTGCCCTGCACCATCCCCATGATTGGTGGCAGAGCCAGCTGTTGTGAGCCACAGAGTTTCCCTGGTTGATTTGGGGCATGGATTACCAGGCCTTTCTTCCTAGCCCATCTTGGCTTGGAAGCTCTGCCAAACCCTGCTCAGTGTTAGGGTAGCATGCAAGGCTCTACGGACCGATAGATAGCAGCTGTGCATGAGGTGCAGTGGCCGGATGGACCCCCACAGAGCATGAGGACTCTGTCCCTGAACTTCTGAGAATGTTCTGAGGACTGGTTTGTGTTGGCCATCCAGCCTTTCAGTCTCAGCAGGACCCTGAGCAGCCACAACCTCACCTGCTGAGCAGAGGAGCTCCTTGTTCTTATTCAGGGTACTGGCTGTATACTGCGGCCTCCTTAGTACGTGGTACTGGATGCATACCACCTTCCTTAGTACATGGTACCAGCTGTATACCAGCCTCCTTAGTACTTGGTACCGGCTGTATACCGGCCTCCTTAGTACATGATACCAGCTGTATACCAGCCTCCTTAGTACATGGCACTGGTTATATATTTCAGCCTCCTTAGTACATGGTACCAGCTGTATACTGTGGCCGCCTTAGTACATGGTACCATCTGTATACCAGCTTCCTTAGTACATGGTACCGGCTGTATACTTCAGCCTCCCTAGTATATGGTACTGGCTGTATACCAGCCTCCTTAGTATATGGTACCACCTATATACCCATCTCCTTTGCACAGGGTGCCGGTTGGATCTGGTCGCCTTGGGGCTTAATGCTGGCTGTATACCGGCCTCCAGCATGCATGTGTCAGCTGTATACTGACCACCCTGTGGGATCTGACCATTGTTGTGCAGTGTGAGTTCCCCATGAAGCCTCCCAGCTCAGGGACCCCTGGAGGCTGAATGAAATCCAGCTCCAGCCCCCTTACCCTCCCCTGTCCCCTGGCACAGGGTGGAAGACTTTGTCTTCCAGAAGGAAAGCAAGCACTTCTTAGAAGTCCTGTGCCCATGACCAGGCTGCCCCTGGGGATGGCACCTTTGTGACACTATCTGCCCAGAGGGACGCCTCCCCGAATTTGCCAGACGGTGGTCCCCTGCAGCTCCCCTGCCCCGTTTGGGCGTTTGCCCTCATGCTGGCTGTTAAAGCTCCCATGTCCTGTTCCGTGTGCCAACTTGGATTGGGAACACCTGTTGTCCCTCCTGCAGGTCGGTGGCGGTGCTGACCGAGTGTATGAGGAACAAGATGCTGGCCAAGTTCTTCCGGGAGCGGCAGGAGGCTTTGAAGCACTCGCTGCCCCTGGGCTCCTATCTCCTGAAGCCGGTCCAGCGGATCCTCAAGTACCATCTCCTCCTGCACGTGAGTGTCTGCCCGGCTGGCCTGCCTACCTTCCTGGGGCAAGGAACAGGTGTTTATGCTAAGTTCAGATGGAAAGAGCGAAGACACAGTGGGCGCATGGAAGTGTTTTCCACGCTCATACTTTACAGTCAACTCATCTGCTCTGCGGAATTAGCGGTCCATCTATGCTGGGCCCGCAGCCCAGGACCAAGTGCTGAGCAAAAGGGTCAATGCTGGCTCCAGCTCTGACTATGTCTCAGGCCACTGCCTAGGCTGCAAGCTGTCCTCCCAGGGAACCCAGTTGTGTGCATTCTGATTTGACTGGGGGGGCGGGGGAGGGGGGCAGACGAAAAGTCACGTGGCCTAGCTTGACTTTTGCCTAAAGCAGAGAAGGTGCTGGGCCGGAGGAGACAGGTGAGCATCGAGACGGACGACCTGGGGCTGGGCTTCCAGGCACGTCGGACCACCTGCACAGAGGGGCCTGGCTGGAGCAAGCCCACTCAAAGGCACCGCAGAGGAAAGGCCTGGCGACCTAGTCCCCAAAAGACAGCCATCGAGAACCAACCTTCTGGAGCAGACTTCTCCTTCAGCACCTGTGGGTCACCTGGTGTCAGAATTCTTGACAGCAACTGGTTAGTTGTTGCAAGGAGAGGCCTTGGAAACAAGGGAGAGCCCTTGTTTCTGGTCCTTTCTAAATAAGCTTGTGGCCAGTCCCTGGATGGCACTGGTGCTTCCCTTAGCTGCCCACCAAAAGGCTGGCATCTCAGACCAGACAGCAGTACTGCGGGGGGAGATGGCGTCTCAGAACAGACAGTAGTACTGCGGGGGGAGATGGTGGCCAAGTGAGCCCTGGGAAGCTCAGCCCTGTCTAACACAGGACTTCAAACCCGGCGCCAGGCTTGGGTTTTCAGGTCTTTCGGGACTTGCATTGACACAGGAGTATGATCTGAAGCCATCTTCATTCTGTTGGTAAGACACGCTCCCGTTTGCATCATGGGAAACAAAAGGCCCCAAGGAGTGCCCAGTGCCCGTCTCACTTGTCCTTGCTCACTGTGTCTCTCCAAGTCCTGTCACCTCCCCAGACAGCCCACACACAGGGCGTCCAGAGCAGGGCTGTGTCTCTCCACGTCCTGTCCCCTGTCCATCTTCCCCGTGGCCCGAGAGGCATGGGTCAGCCTGCAGCGCTGTTGGGTTTTCCTCTTCGCGCTGCAGGTTCAGGGCAGCGTTCTCCTCCATTGCTCCTCCCTGCGTCCGCCTCGCCCTGCCTGCAGTTCCTGTGCGCCTCTCGAAATGCTTCCCTCTGGGGCAGTCGTTGTGGGTCGGCTCAGTGCACACCTGTGTGAAGTTGCAAACGTTTCTGTCACCCAGCTTCTCAGAAACATCTCCCCTTGTCTGTTTGCTGCCAGCTCCTGCAGAGATCTTACCTGCCCAGGAGCCCGGCCAGGGAACCCTCCTTCCCTGTTGAAGTCGATCCCAATCCCCTGGTAGATGGAGTGGGATTCTTGTCCTAAATCTGTGTCCCAACCCAAACTCACTGCCATCGAGTTGATGCCGACTCTCCCGACCCCATCCGTCAGAGTAGAACTGCTCCTTTGAGTTTCTGAGACTGGAGTTCTTTACAGGGACAGACAGCCCCCTCTGTCCCACGGAGCGGCTGGGCGGGTGTGAGAAGACCAACTTGTGGTTAGCGGCTCAAGGGTTACCCCGTTGGGCCACCCAAGCTCCTTGGTGCCTGGCCCTTCTTACAGATCAAATAATACCGACCCTTGCTAAGCACCACTAGATGTGACATCTCAGGCTTTTAGATCTGTGTGTCCTCAGGTGGATTCCGCCCCATAGCAACGCTGTAGGACAGAGGAGAACTGCCCCATCGAATTCCTTAGGCTGGAATCTTTACAAGAGCAAGTGGTCAGCTCTGTTCTTCCCCAGAGGCACTGGTGGGATGGGACTGCCAACGCAGTGCACCAAACACCCCCCAAAAAAACCTCAAACTGGCTGCCAGTGAGTCAATTCTGGCATAGCAACCCGATAGGACAGAGTAGAACTGCCCCTGTGCACTCCAAGACTGTCACTCTTCCGGGTGTAGAAAGCCCCCTGCTGATCACGGAGCCCCAGGGCGCTATGATGGAGACAGACAGGCAGACGGGCTGGTAAAGACAGGGCTGGGTTAATCTAAAAACTAACGACTGGCTGTCTCTGAAGGCATTCTGCTTTGAGAGTTGGCTTAGAGGCTCCTCTCTGTGTGACCCCTGTCACCCTGAAGGCATAGAGCCGCCAGGAAGATCCACACAGCCATTTGCTCTGTTCTGTTCAGTCGGCTTTCGGATGAGCAGGCTACCTTGCCGCCTGAAAGAAGGAGCAAGGGGAAAAGAAAATTAAAAGCTCTGCTGTCCCTCTTGACCCTGCCCTGAAGGCATCAGGGCATCTGGCTTCAAGGGAGTTTGTAACCTTGGCTCTGAGGCTGGGAACAGAACTCAGACCCTCTTCCAGTTTGTTTTCAGGTCCAAAACAGGGCTACCTAACACCCCCACCCACCCTGAGTTACTGGGTGTGGCCACAAAATGACAGAGCAGACCTTCCTGGGTGCTGCCAGCAAGATCCAGCCCCTGCCCTTGATTAACCGGAGGAGTGTGCGTGTGTGCGGCAAGGACATGCTCGAATCATCTAGTATATCTTTCTCCCAGCTCTGGTTCCCATGCTTGTTGCTGATTTAGATGAACAAGCTTTGACCGACCACCTAGACCTAGCTCTCTGCGGAAGAGCCCTGGTGGCATAGAGGTGACAGCATTGGCCTCCTTACAAGGTCAGCAGTTTGCAACCACCAGCTGCTCCGTGGGAGAAAGAGGCTTTCTGCTCCCATAAAAGAGTTGCAGTCTTGGGAACCCACAGGGGCCCATCCACCCGGCCCTATTGCTGAAGGGTTGCTCTGAGCGGCCCTCCACGTAGGGGCAGGGAGGTTGGCTGTGGGTTTGAGTTGTCTGCCTGGGCGTGGGGTGAGCTAAGGATCAAAGGCACTGGGAGAGAGCCCCCAGCCATGGAGCCTGGGGGAGTGGAGGGGTACGGGAACAGAGCGCGAGAACAAGAACTGTATTCCTGCCGACGGCACCACGGGGCCACCAGAACACTGAGAACTCTCTCTCTCCACTGGGATGTCCGTCATGAGCATCACGTCTTTGTGAGACGCGCTGGCCTGCAGACGTGGCTTGTTCCATGCTCTGCCTTGAGAATCCTGGCTTTGCTCTCATTGTTGCTAGCCTCGTTGTGTTCCAACTCTAGCACGTTGGCTGCCGGTATTCCTGACACATTAGGGCACAATCTGACGACAGGCTGCTTGTGGAACTGGAGGAGCAAAGCATCAAGTGTGAGGGATTAATCAAGGAGGGGCTGGAGTCCAGGTGGCACCATGGCCAAAGCACTCGGTGCGGAACGAAAGGTGGGGGGGGGGGGCAGCTGTGGCCTCTCTCCTATAAAGCTAGGGGTCTCGGGTGCCCTGGGGCCCAGCTCTACTCTCGTCTCATTGGGTCCCTGGGAGGCAGAAGGGACCCAATGAAGGGTGCTCTGTAACAGGACTGTGGTTGTTCCCCTGGTGCTTAAATGAGGGCAATGGAAACCCCTTTTCTTTGTTGTTTGTAAACATTAGATGCTCTTACAGATAGCATAACAATCCCTACCTCAATGAGATCAAGCGAACTTGTGTGTTGCCACCGTCGTTTTCAAAACATGATCTTTCTACTTGAGCCCTTGGATGTCAGCTCCTCTTTTCCCTCTCCCTCCCCCACCCTCCCACCCTCGTGAGCACTTAATCATTTTTTTTCATATCTTACACTGTCCGCCGTATCCCTTCACCCACATGTCTGTGGCTCGCCCCCACCCCCGGGAGGGGGGCTTATCTATCCCCTTTTCCTCTTCTCTTCAAGGAAATAGAAAACCACCTTGACAAGGCCACCGAGGGCTACGACGTGGTGCTGGACGCCATCGACACCATGCAGCGCGTGGCCTGGCACATCAACAACATGAAGCGCAAGCACGAGCACGCTGTGCGCTTGCAGGTGAGCCCGAGGGGCAGGGGCGCCCGAGGGGCAGGTGAGCCTGAGGGGCAGGGGTGCCCGAGGGGCAGGTGTGCCTGCCCACGCTTGGTGAGCCCTGGTGGCAGTACAGAAGTGTGCACAGGAGGGTTCAGAAGTTAGACCACTGGGATTGTCTTCCCAGATGCCTCTGGGCGGCTTCAGCTAGTAGCCAAGAGCGCTAACCACGTCCACCTGCCCAGCACTAGGGAGTGGGGGTGTCGAGGGAAACACGCCTGTGAGCAGGTCACACCTGAGCCATCGGAAAGCACAGCTGATGCTGTCAGCCAGGGCCGCCTCATGCTCGGCCCACACGTACGGGCCGCCTCCCGTGGCTGTGAACATACTGTTGAATAACGGCGTCTGTCGGCGTGAGCCCTGTTGTGGGTCCCAGGAGCCTAGGTCCTCGAAGCGCAGCCCCGTGCCCTGCCCCACCTTCCTTTCCTGCCTCCTTCCCATCCTCAGGAGATCCAGAGCTTGCTCACCAACTGGAAGGGGCCGGACCTGACCAGCTACGGGGAGCTGGTGCTCGAGGGCACCTTCCGGCTGCAGAGGGCCAAGAACGAGCGGACGCTCTTCCTCTTCGACAAGCTGCTGCTCCTCACCAAGAAGAGAGAGGACACTTTCACGTACAAAGCTCACATCCTGGTATGGCCCTCTGGGCCCCGGTGGGGGTGGGCATGAGTGCACAGCCTGGGCCCGGGTCTCACCCCCTCTGCACCCTCTCTGTCCAGTGCGGTAACCTCATGCTGGTGGAAGTGATCCCTAAAGAGCCGCTTAGCTTCAGCGTCTTCCACTACAAGAACCCCAAGCTGCAGCACACTGTGCAGGTAAGGGCAGCGCCCTGGGAACCGGTGAGCTCGGTGCTCCAGGCAGCCTGGCAGGACTGGCCCGGCTCGTCAGGGCACTGAGGATCTGGATCTGGTCAGAGTGGGGATGTGTTGTCTGATGTGTCCTCGTCTGCCTCTGCCAGGCAAAATCCCAGCAGGACAAGCGCCTGTGGGTGCTGCACCTGAAGAGACTGATCCTAGAGAACCACGTGGCGAAGATCCCGGCAAAGGTAAACCCAGGGAGCCCTGTAAAGTGTCTACCCCCAACGTGGCGATCAATCGCGCCTCCTGGTGGGCGGTGCTGGAACTACTCAGGGGGGTGCAAAAGCAGATACCTACACTTTATCTTGGATTACGGCTCTCGTCCGAACATTTTCCATTGCCAGAGAGGCACTGAGTAAATGTGTGGTTGTTTTTGGATTTATGAGAAGGGGTTGGAAGGCCAAATAAATTTGGGAACCTGTGACCTACAGGATTCCACACCCTTGACTGGCAGCCAATAGGAATACGTGGTTTTTTTCCAAATGAGTGCAGAGCAGTGTAGACCAGCCATTTATAGTGAGAAGATCACAGGAAAGGAAGACTGGGAGATGGGTTGGGTGGGTGGTGGTGTTTGTTGGACTTGACAAAAGAATAAAAAAATTGAAAGACCATTCTAGAGAACTCATTGGAAGGAAAAGGAGCTGTTAGGATTATTCAAAGGCATGCTGAGCCCCAATCATGAACAAAGGCTCTTGGGAATGCTGGGGAGACCAGGCAGCTTCTCAGCTGTGGAGACATTTACAGAGAAGCGATGACCCCAGAGGCATTGACGGTCTGCTGAATACCATGAACTGATGGGCATCAAAGCCAGGTCCTTGGGGTGGATAAGGTGTTCACACCACTTGAGTGAGGAGGGGAAGGAACAGAACGGACATATGACGGAAAATGGAAGATGCCTTCACCTCCGTTTGGAAGGCCAAGATAGCTTATTAAGTGGGGAGAGGAAAAACAGGGAAGTAGCCCCAGCGAACAGCAGAACGAGAAAGGAAGAGGTTGGATGGGGTACTATGACTGCATGTTGTGCGAGGTGGTGGGGTCCCGTCCTTGGGAGAAGGGGTGGGTGTGAGGGAGAGGGAGCCTTGTGCCTCACTGGGAGGACCTCAGTCACAGACAGCAAGCGCACAGCCAGGGTTCTCCAGGGAACCACCCGTCCACACGCGTGTGCATATGCAGAGTGCCGTCCGTGCACTGGCTGTGAGGATGGGCTCGTGCGGTGTGGCAGTTGGAAAATCTTCAACCTGTATGGCAGGCAGCAGGCTGGTCCCTGGGGCCAATGCTGCAGGCTCCAGGTAGCAGTTCTTCTAACTTTGGGACACTTCCCCTTGGGGGCGAAGCGAGGGTGGGCGTGAGGCCCACACCCATTAAGGAGAGCGATCTGCTTCACCAAGGAGTGCAGTGACTGCAAGCCTGAATCTCCCCTGAGTGCCCCCGTGTTAACTTCCAGACTCGTGTTGGCCCACATAGCTGGACGCCCTTGCCACACAGGGTTGCCCATCACACGGGCAGCAGGAAGCCCTGAGGGTCTGGGAGGGGAGGGCAGGGTCTGCCCTGGGTCCTGAGAGTGTAACTCCAGGGACATCCAGGCAGATGCTCCATGCGTCACCACAGAGGAGGAGCCTGGCTTTGACCAGAGGAGCAGAGAAGAGCAGAGGGCAACAAATCAGGAAGGTCGGGTTGGGGGGGGGAGCGGAGCAGCAATGTGCCCATGGTGGTGGGGAGTTGCAGAAAGGGATCATGGGTGGGGGGCAGATTAGGTGGGAAGGAGGGGGTGAGCACAACCTCCCCAGCTCCCATGTGGGAATGTGGGGTTAGTCCAAGGGAGAAATTCCGGCTTGGGAGCTGAGGGTCTGGAGGAATGGGAACCCTAAGCGCGTGGACAAGGTGGCCCACAAAGATTAGGAAAGAAAGACCTCTGTGACCCCAAATGATTGGCGAGGGGCGGAGGGGCTAGGGGGCCAGCCAGAAGAGCAGCGTGGCCCATCGACCCGTCCCGCAGGTCATCAAACAACGTGGACACCTGAAAAAGGGACTCGGAATGAAGAGGGGCAAGAGACGCGAGAAATGGAGGCAAGACAGGAGTCTGATCAAGCCTTGTTTATTGAGCAGAAGGCAGGGGCTTAAATACCCTAGGGTGGGCGGTTAACATTACATCATATGCTAATAAAATGTAATGAATACCCAATGGTGGGAGGGTAACATTACATCATATGCTAATAAAGTGTAACAGGTAGTATCCAATAATCACGCAGCTACCAAATATGGAAGAATTGGCAGGCATCAGTCCTCAAACAAGTCCGCATGCAAATGAGGTGCACTTGGATGCCTGGTGGAGGGGTCCAATGAGCATGGCAGCTGCCTGCCACCAAGCACCAATCATCACAAAGGCCAAACTCAGGCAGGACAATAGGCCAGGGAACATCCGGGAATGGGAAGCTTAAAGACAGTGGACGGCCAGGCCATGGGCTGAGGGACGTGCAGACTCCCACAGCCCATGAGATCGTGAAATGAGGGAGAGAGAGAGACGGGGCGACTGAGCGGTGCGGTGGGGGGAGGGGGTGTGGGGCAGCAGCCTTGGCTGCCGCTGAGATCAGACGAGAATCATGCAGATATGAAATTCGGTGATCTAGAGACCTAGAAGAGGGAGGGGCAGATATCAGCGGGCATGAGAAGGAACCAGCTGGGTGTAGACATTTTTTTTTTAATACGTCATAAAGGGTAGAGAAGAAGAAGGGCGGTGATTTCAGGAGAGGCCACCTCCAATGGAGTCCTGGCCAGAGTGAAGCCAGCCTGGGGACCCACGGGCAGAAAGCCGAGAGCACACAGAGGCACTCTGAGGTGGCCTGCACTGAGGCAGGACGGCCGAGGGCAGGTGGAAAGGCCCTGACCCTTAGCTGAGGACAACACCCTGGGGCCTAGCTTTGGATGAGTAGCACCTGGGACAGCTGACACTAGATACCTGAGAGCACGCCCAGGTGTGGCTGATGGTGTCCTTCAGACCTCTGTTCAGCAGCTTACAAACTGCAGCAGGGATGCAGCACTGGGGACCGGCTGCTGACCCCTAGGGTGCGCACCGCCCACCGCAGACTTCCAGGCCGAGCAGCCGGAAACAGGCCAGGAAAGCGGGATGCTTTCTGGGCACACTGATCTGACCTGGGTCAGTGCCTCTCCAGCAGGAGTTGGGCTCGGAGCGGTGGCCATCCAGACTGGGACGTTTTGGGAGGCAGTCAGGGGGCAATGGGTGGCTGTGATGATATGTGCTACCCTGCAGATGGGGCAGAGTGGTCAGAGATACAGTGGCCGCGTGGTGATGGCTTCCCCATGGGGTTGGTGAAATGGCCCACAAGGGGGTGGGACGGGACGCGATGATGGTCATGAGAGAAGACTGAGTGGAAAGCCTGAGGACAGAGCTCCCCAAGAAGGGGAAGAGATCCTCTTGCCCGCCATCCCCAAGCCCCCCCATGCCCACACTGGCATGCATCAGAAGCTCTCCTCCAGGGTGGGCGGCGGAGGTTCTGTACCCAGGAAACATGCTTTTCCCATAAACTGGAGAGTCGTGGCATCGGGGTGTTGGGAGGTGCAAGTAGCTGTGCAAAGAGGTGACCGCGTCTCCCTGGCGGTTAGTCACTTGCTTGCTGGCCGGGTGCCTGGGAATGCCCTCTTGAGGCCTGGCCCGGCCCCACCTGCTGTTTAACTTCCCCTGGGAAAAGCCCTGCGCTAAGGGGATTCGGAAAGGCAATTAGTGCTGCTTGGAAAACCAGAAGAACCTGCATCCCTCTCGTCTGTCTCCCACACCTGGTATGTGTGCTCTAGACTGCTTTTCCCTGGTGTATTACAATGGGACGTAGCATCACAACGGACTGGTTCTCTTTGCTCGTGTTGCTGATCCTGTGAAGATTCTAAAATTCGGGGGCGGGAGGGTGGGGGGGTGTTCTGCTGCGACTTATGGAACACACAGACCCAGAGCAAAGTATGTTGTCTTCTTGGTTCACCCTCAGCAAAGTACCCAAGAGCCACATCTTACTCTCCCCGTTTTGGAAATGGCATGAAGTAGATGGTACACAGGAGCCCCCATGGCCTAGTGGTTATGTGTTGGGCTGCTAACTGCAAGATCAGCAGTTCGAAACCACTGATCACCCCACAGGAGAAAGGGCTTTTTACTCCTGTTAACAGTGACAGTCTCGGAAACTCGCGGTGGCAGTTCTACCTTGTCCTATAGGGTCGCTGTGAGTCGGCATCAATGTGATGGCAATGAGTTTGGTTTTGGGTGTGCAAGGCAGTCGGGATTCAAAAAGAATATCTTAACCAGTAACCATGGAAGCATGCTGGTTTAATACACCACCGTCAGGTGGATCCGTTTTCTAAGTGGGAGTATCAACTAGGAGTCCTGGTGGCACCATGCTTAAACCTTCAGTTGCTAGCTGACAGGTTGATAGTTCAGCCCCACCACGGCTACCCAGGAGAAAAGGCCTGGCAACTATAGAGTCCTCCCCTAGGAAGACCTATGCCATATGGGGCCATTCTACTCCTTCCTGTGGGGTATAGGGCCACCCTACACCTGACTCAGCTCAGTGGTACCCAACACTCAATAATGAATAGCTCAGCACTGTTTCTTTAAAAGATCATGTTCTTAGAGCTTTCAAAATATCTTTCTATGAAGTAAAGGAAATGGCTAATGAATGGGAAACTGTAAACATGAAACAAAAATGTAGGTTGGAAATGAACAAGTCTAGCCCCTCCCAAGCCCACTGGAATCAACTCCACAGGGAGTGAGTGCGGATTTGGGCCTAAAGCCCTCCCCCACCCCACCCCTTTCCTGTCATCTGTGATGGTCCGTGGCTGACACCTAGTGGACAACATGTGGATGATGAGCCTTTTTTTTTTTAAGTGTCGAGACTTAGGGTGAAAGCTACTAAGGTTCAGGACGTCTGATTTTCAGAAACTGCCACGCCACCGGTTCCTCTGTGGTGGGCAGACTGGAGGCTAGTCCAAAGAAGGCAGTCGGGCACTCCGTTTCTCATGCTGAGACACACAGGGTTTGCAAAGGCCAAGCAAAGATGCGGACAGGTGCTTGGGAACCACGTTACCTATGTTCTGTGTGTTACCAGGATGCTGTCATGCATTTCAGACTTGAGCTCACATTTGTGTTTAGGATTCATCAGAATAGTTAACCCCCCATTTTGGATGTAAGCTCGAATTGTCTATATTATAAAAATCTCTATGATCTATGCATTTGATTTCTCAGCATGAAGGTCAGAAAAGCAATGTCTTGAATTTGGGATTTATTTTTCCCTTTTAAAACTTAGCTATAATTGCCACTCTAATAAAGCTAGGTGAAAGGAATTTTAGCATGTTTGCAAGTTTCTATTAGTTTTGAAAATGAAAGATAGACTATAGAGGCAAGAAAGGCTGCCTAAGCTAATTTTACTTTTAGGAAGCAGCTACCATGAGCACAAGACAGTTGATGAGCCTGAGGGAGACCGGGCGTGCTGGGGACAGAGCCCAGTCCCCGGCCTGTAGCATTTGGTTCAGTTGATCTGACTTGGTGACCAGGAGGCTACCAAGGACCCAATAGACAGTGGCGATCAGCCTGGTTGTGAACCTCCGACGGAGGGGTCTCCTCACTCCCCTCCTGTCTTCCTCCCTCCCTGTCTGCCTTTCTTTGCTAGGGACAGGGCGCTGACTCTGACTTTCTTGTTGTTGTTGTTGTTGTTTCCCTCTCTTGTGCATGTTTCTTGTGTCATGTGCTACCCACATGGGGGCACTTGCCTGCGTGAACCATGTGTTAACCCCTTAAAGAAATACAACCTACTTGTTCCTCACTTACCAGCGCTCTCGTTCTCAGACATTTCACATTTACGGCAGTAGCATCTACTCTATCTTGCATGCTAATGATGTGCGTCTCACACAGTTTGCAATTATGGAATAATGGAATTTGGCAATTATGGAATGATGTCATCAATCTCCGTTTTGTGATCTGACGTGGTCATCCTCCATTTCTCCATAACACCCATTTTCACCTAACAACCTGGCCTTTGGAACCCGACTCTGTCAATAAGTGAGGAATTTGTTGTTGTTGGCTTCTTTTTTTAAGCATTTAAGAATCTAAAGTCGTCAAGGTAAAATCTGTATCCCGACTGGCAGTGTAAACCTGCAGCAAATCTGTACTTGTCGTGGTGATGGGAGGGCGGAAAAGCCGAGGCAATGATGACTGCCCTCTCTCTTTCAGGCCAAGCAAGCACTACTTGAAATGGACGCTATTCGTAAGTCATGGTTTCTTAATACGGCTTAAACGTTGATCTTCCACTTGTGCCTATAATCTGTCTGCCTTCGGGTCAACCAGGCTGCCGATGCGGTCTCCCCAGCACAATGACTTGTTCCTAATGCGGGCTTATCCGTGGTCGCGTGATGGCAGCCCCAGACCCAGGTTTTCTGAATCAACCAACAACGTGGGTAACAATTTCAGGGTCAGCCTTCCCCCCACTCTCCACTACCACCACTAGAAGGCAAGGTCCCCCCAAGTTCCCCCCAGCCTCTAAGAGCCCCCCATTGACCATCTGCAAGACACACTACTAGACAGTCTTGCCTTTCTCTGACATTCAAAGTTCTAACAGCACAACCACACCACATCTAGGGTTGCGTTTCTAGGCCGAGGATAAACAAGCTGGTCCTGTCTGTGCAAGAGAAGCGTGTCGCACGCCTGGTTAACAAGGAGGAGATTAAATAGAATAAGAAGAGAAACCACTGGCTTTAATCACACAGCCAGGACTCCCCGCAACTCAGTCTTACCACATTTCTGCTTTTGCTAAGATGTTCAAAATGCCTTACTCCTGAGGAATCCTTCCTCAAGTGCATGACACTGGCCCCTTCACGTCTCGCCCCGCCAACGGTGAATAGAGAGTGGCTGTGTTTTGTTGTATTTTTCAAAGAGGCACCCAAGTAGAAGCGTGAGCACCTGCCTCACCACCATCCACCTCAGGCACTTGGTGCAGCCCAAGTAGGGTGCACTCAACTGCCTAAAGGTGGTTGGTGCAAACCCACCCAGCAGTGCCACGGAAGAAAGGCCTGGTAGTCTGCTTCCTCCGTGAAGTTCACAACCCAGAAAACCCCATGAGGCCGCATTTCCTCCGTGGCTCACCTGGGATTGCTGTGGGTCAGAATCGACTCAGTGGCAGCAGGTTTGCACGTAGACGTGACTCCCCGCTCCAGATGCCAACCAAACCTGAGAAATGATGGCGGGGGACCACTACCCGGGACTGTGCTGGAGCTGATTCTCTGCCCCTGGCGCATGTCAGTCAGCATCCTAGGAAGGGTCGAGTCAAGTGCTGTAGCCCTTCCTTCTGAGAAGTCAAAGAGGTTGGGCACAGAGAGAGGCGGGGAGCAAATGCGTAAGAAAGAGAAAGGGGAGGGCACAGCATCACATGCCAGCCCAGCCCTGCAAGTCAAGTCCCCCATGAGCGGACAGCCCCTGGCTGCACAGTCAACACAACAAAGGGGGGAGAGGGGCTGCCCCCGTGACAGATGACACAGGACCTCGCACCAGGTAGCTGCCGGGAGAAGTCAGGGATCCCCTCGCTCTTACTGGCCCATGTGCTTGTCTTCACAGACCACCCAGGTTTCTGTTACAGTCCTGAGGCAGAGTCGAAGGCAGGCTGCTCGAAAGAAGGGTCCACTCCATATCGGCTCAGAAGAAAATCGGGTGAGTAGGACGTTGCGATCACATTTCCATCGTTAGGGAGAACTGCTCCTGAACTCCCAACTCTCTGTCATGTGGCCGTCCGGTGGAGGCTGTGTTCCTCTGATGCTGGAAGCGTTGATGTCAGTAGTTTAAATGCCAGCAGGGTCACCCACCATGGACAGGTTTCCCTGCAGCTTCCATACTTAAGACAGTCTGGGAAGAAAAGCCTGGTGGTCTGCGTCTTCAAAATCCGGGCAGTAGAAGACTTAGGAAGAGCAGTAGAGTGTTCGCTGCCTCAGAATAGTCGCCCTTCGTGCTGTGGTGCAGAAAGGCTTTCTGGGCCTTCACTTGCTGGTGTGGCACCCCTCAAAGTGGCAGCAGCGGTAGCAACAGCAGCAAACACCTGTGAATATTGGAACGTGGAATGTAAACAGGATGAGTCTTTGAAACATTGGAAGTGGACACAAATTCAATGGAACAGCTACCAATCGATGTCCTGGGCATCTGGGAGCGGAAATGTGCCAGCACCGGTCATTCTGAACCAGGCGATCGTATGGGCTCCTGCGGTTGACAGCGTAAAGAGAGCGAAAATCACATTCATTGTCAAGCAGAACATTCCGAGCTGTCAGCGATAGGCTAGCACCCATACACCTACACAGAAGACCAGTTAATACGACCCTCAGTTTTACACCCCACCCTTCAGTGCCACAGATGAGCTAACTGAAGGTGCTTGCCCGTGTCTACGGTCTGGAATTGATCAAATGTGCCATCGAAGTGCATCGCTAATTATTGTGATTGGAATGCAAAACTGAGAAACAAAGGAGGAGGAACCAACCGTAGTTAGAAAATACGGCCTTGGTGATAGAAACCATGTCAGAGACCAGATGATAGAATTTTGCAAGACCGATGACTTCTTCATCACAAAATATCATTTTTCAACAACACAAACTGCAGCTGTGCATGGGGACCTCACCAGATGGCATACACAGAAACCAAATTGGCCTCATCTGTGAAAGAGGCCATGGAGAAGCTCAATATCATGAGCCAAAACAAGGCCGGGGCCTCATGTGCAGATTCAGGTTGAAGCTAAAGAAAACTCAAACAAGTCCACGAGAGCCAAAACACTACCTTGATCATATCCACCTGAACTTAGAAACCACCTCAAGAGCGTATTTAACATATTGAATGCTAATGACTCAAGACAAGACAAATTTGTGGGATGCTGTCATAAAACAGCATACCCAAAGAAATCAAAAGGTCATTAAAAAGCAGGAAAGAAAAGTGGATGTCAGATGAGACTCCAAGACTAGCTCTTAAATGCAGAATAGCTAAAGCAAATATAAGAAATGATGAGTTACCCACTACCATGACTCGAATTCTATCTTGCAAGACTGGCTAGACCAGAGGAGGTACACTGGTACAGATAGGAACTGAAAATACAGGGAATCC